GGGGGCAGGGGGCACGGCGTCGACGTCGACCCCGGCGGCTGCGGCGCCTCGGGCTTGTTTCTAGCGGGGCACGACTTGGACGGGGGGCGGTGCCGTCGTCGGCTGCGGGGGAGACAGACGCGCGCCGATAGGATGTGAGGCGCTGACCACGGCGGCGGTCTAGTTCCGCGCGACCCCGCGAGCAGCCGGCGCTGTCCTTGAGGGCGGCCGCGGGTAGATTTCCAGCTGCTGCTGGCCGCTGTGCGGGGCGCCACGTCCGCGGGCTAGCGCTGCTGCTTCTCCTTACGTATGTGGTGTGTGTCGCGCCCTCTAGGCGCACCACCGCGACCGCGCGCCGCGCCGCGAGGCGAGCCCTGACCCCGCAGCCGCCCCGCGAGCCTGTGAAGTCCCTTGTCCTGTCAGGCTGCAGACCCGCGCGCGGAAGGTCTCTGTGGATTCGTGATTCGTGCGTGGGTTTTAAAGCAATTAATTTCTCTGTAGAGTGCAAAATAAAAGCGATGGCTGTGCAGTTGCATGCAAAGTGTTATGTATATGTATAGCCGTTGAAGTGTTTTCAGTTGAAAATGACGTCTTTGTAGGAATTTAGAAGTGTCACCTAGGTGACACTTTTAATTTTCCCACTCCACACCCCCACCTCTACCCTCGCCCCCACCTTTCCACACCTGCTGGTTTTGCCTGGAAAATGGAGTCATTTGTGTTTTTCAAATGACCTCAGGCCTTGCTCAAAGCTCCTCATTTTAAAACTGAATGTCCTTCTTTATTAATGTGGAGCGCGCGAGCTTGTGGCCATATGATGAGATTTCGTTTTTATCTCCACCTTGAAATGTTTTTCCCTTTCGCGTCGATCTGACCAAAGCTCCCAGGATGCTTCCCGGTCCCGGGTCGTGCGCTGCGTTTTTAAGAGCGGAAAAAAGTCAATTTTTTAATGTTTACTTTTTTCTATCTTTTTTTTTTGTTTTTTTGTTTTTGTTTCTGTGTCTGTGTGATTGTTGAGCTCTTTGTGCGACCTTGCATGATTTCTCGTGTGCAGTTCTCACGTTTGAATGAATGACTCGAGTGGACAGCGCGACGGGCCGTCCTTCTGCTCGGATCCTCGCGTGGATGGAAATCCTCATCTCACTTTTGCCCGGGTGGGTCGGTGCGACGCGTGACGTGCGTGGCGTGTGTGCGGGGCCCACCGCCGCTAGGGCTGTGCGATATCAAGATATTTCGATATCGATACGATATTGTCAGATATTGAGATCTCGTTACTCTCCCGATATCGATATCGGAATATCGAGGTTAATCGATTACTACAGTATATCGCGCTATATAGACAATTTTTAAACATATCGTTTCTCGATATGGTTCGATTTTGCGATGTAACTTGATTTTATCGAGTCGATACGTGGTCGATATCGTACGGCGATATCAAAATCTGGATATCACACAGCCCTACCCGCCGCCCCCGGGCGCATTGAACGCCCGCAAGTCGCGGGGGCTCACGTGCGACTTACTGTTTTGTTGCCCCGGCGCAGGTTGACGAGCACGGGGGAAAATAAAAAAGACATTGTTGTGCGGGGATCAACTCTGTTTGATAGGTTAAATTTGATGGCATGAATTGAGATTACGATAACCACAACAAGAGGAATTGGTGGTTGTCACACGACCGGACACTTATACGAATAGAACAAACTTCAGCTTGGTTCTATTCGTACAAGTGTCCGGTCGTGACAACCACCAACTCCTGGTTGTGGGTATCGGATTATCTATTCCTGCTATCATCTTTATACTATCAAACAGGAGTTGATCCGTTGATCCCCACTACAAAGTCATTTTTTTCCCGTGAGGTTGACGCAGGCCTGGGGCCTGTCGTCCAGGCCACCAACCGCCATCTCCGCTGGTCGCTGTTGTAGCTGCTGTGGCTGCGGCTAGAGGAAGGCTCCTTTGAGAATAGTCTGCAAATGAGTTTTTTCCTGCTATCTTTCCCGTCTTTCTCTCTCTTCTCCCTGCTGTTGTGGCTCCATTCGCTGCGAGGATGGTGACCGCGCGCTCCCCTCTTATCCTTGACCGAAGTCCTGCCCCCCCCCCACCCCAATCTCCCCGACAAAAGTGCCTGTCGCTCTCTGTCTCTGCACGTAGCCCGCATTTATTTGAGCTCCCATCGTCAGTCGGCTTTTGGAGTAGTGGGTCTCCGCGACGTCCGCGTTGAATGGACTAGTGCACTAAGCTCTGACGACTTTAAAAAAAAAAACACTTTTTACAATTAATTTAAAAATAGCTGTTGGTGTAAAATGTATACCCGCCTTTTGCGCGCTTTCTTGGGGTCTGACGGGTTTTGCGGATTTGACAGTGTTATCGTGTCTGACAGACGCCCTTCTGTGGGCAAGGCGCGCCCGCCCTGCCTCATGTGCTTGCATGCGGTAATCTTCTTCAGACTGATGACATTGGGCAGCGCTGGTCAGTCACTCGGTCAAGTAACCCTGCTCTGCTCCAATTCCTATCACCACTCTCAATGACCCGCTGGTCTAACTCGTACCCTCAGATTATTTATACAGATAAAAATTCATATTGGTCTGTTTTTTTATATATATATAAATTGCAACTTTCGTTTCCAAGTGCGATGCTCCCGTCTTTCTTTCAGTAACAAACAACCTCGACTCTTACTCTGAATGCATATAGAGCACGGTTTGACTATGTAAATAAGTTGTTCGAAGCGAATAAGTTGTTGCCGGAACGTGGCTAGACTCTAAGACAGATTGGTGGTGAACCGTGTACTCGTGTACGCGGTTGGTTGTAGTGTTGGTGCGTACATCAAAACTTGGCCATTAGCAAAACATATTTTCCCGGCGTGACGTCGAAGCGAGCGGACATCAATAATTACAATAAGTGAGACGAGTGTCTGTCGCTGTCTACGTCACGAGCAAATGCCTAACTCTTGTTGCGTTTGTCACACGGCATGAGAGAACCGTGCCAAGACGGTCAAAATTACCTGACAGTTTACTTTTGCGGTGTCGAATTTTTTTTCTTCCTTTTTTTTGCCCGCTCCTGTTCGTGTCTGTATTATTTGTCTCCCACACGAGCACTGTATGACTCGCGTGGTTTAATTGTCCATATGAGTGCCTGCCGTCTAGCTGAGAGGATGGGACGGGATGTGGTAGTTAAACCTGCGTTTCCAAAACTACTTTGGAAGGCCGTTTGTGTGATTTCTAAAGAACTATCGGTGCAGTTCGCCAACCGACAAAAATATATCTCAATCCAGAAAAGTGGTCTTGCATGTTTATCCACCTCGTCGTTAAGCTTCATTCTCCACGAGCTCCATTTTGGCACCGAGCGTTTCACGAGGCGACGCTGATGACGGCGCCTGCCACGCGCTGGTTAGGCCAACCCGCCACACAGCTGTGCGCACACGGTGGCCTGCCAGGGCGCCCAGGTGACAATCGGGAACGTTTTAGCCCCGGGGTGACGCGCGAGCGAACGTTGTGCCCGGGCACCTTCATGAGGTGGCAATTTAACTATACAATGTAAAGTAGGGAAACTACTTGTTTCTCACAACAAAGCAAATTTACAGATTTGATTTTTTTGTTTGAGTGAATTGAATTGATTCCAGAAAGAAGTTAGGAAAGTGAAACGTGTCATGGCAAATTCAGGCTTTTAAAAAAGATCTTGAAAAATATTCGTATCTGGAAAATTAATTAAAATCCCTATTACTGACCTACAAGAGTATTTTTCTCGACAAATTTCGCGACTATTTCGGCTCAAAACATTTCCTGTGTGGCAATTAATTTCTCCCGTTGTGCGACGCCTGTGACCTCTGGTACCCGCTGGTCCCCGCTGGTCCCAGCCGCGCGCCGCCGGCCGGCACATGCCACCGCTTTGTCGCTGTACTACACGGTGCGGGCCGCGGTGCTCCGTGTGCCTCCTGCGGGGCCAGAGAGCGAGGCCGGAGGCGCGCGGGGCGCCCTCTAGGTGCGTCACAGGAGGCGCGCCGGAGTGGCCGGAGAGGTGCGTCCCCCCCCCCCCCCCCACCTCTCTCTCTCTCTCTCTCTCTCTCTCTCTCCCCCCCCCTCGCCATGTCATCCTCGACGAAGGCGCGTCCGCGTCCGACGAGGTGGACATTCCCGCCTCTTATCTAAAATAAACGAAAAAAACAACTGAAGAGCCTACCTTGGAGTAGTTGCGATATGCCGACGCGTGAGGGCTTAAATGGCATAATCAGATTTTGCACGTTGGAACCATTATTTTTCGTGTAAGTTTCCATCACGGGAAGGATTTTGTTTTTCATTTAATTA